CTCCATCGGAAATGCAGCCGCCGCAGCCGGGATTCGATCCTGTGACCTGCGGGTCAGCACCCTGAGTACCTTAGCCCCTAGACCAACGCGGCGCGGCCCTACGCTGCACTGAATCCCCCCTTTCTTGTATCTTTCTATTAAGTACTTGCCCTATGTTGCATTAGTTATGAAATGTGAACCATTATTTGTTTGCGTACTGTAAGCACTTTTGGTGTCTATCTGCGTATCTAGCCACTTACGTCTGAGTGCTCTTGTGATCACCCACTCAACTTGGCGCGAACCAAAATTAGCATGGAAGGGTGCGATGACATCAAGAATTTGACGGGCTGGTAAATACATGTATAATGTCACAATCCGGTCGCGCACGTCGTCAAACACTTCCCTGCAGACTAGTGGCACATACCCTCGGGCAGGTACTTGCCAGTGGTATACGGGTATGTGCCACAGATGATTGACATTTAGTATCTACCCAGGAACGACGTGAACACACATGGGCAATTTTATCGCGTGAGTGTTTATAAATACCTTGCATTGCAGCGTTGACCCGACGAATGAAAATATTTAATGTCAAGGTCCCCGCAGGGATCGAGCCCAAGCATTCTGCGGGGCACTCAAGCATTACACCACAGAACCACGTCAGGCCTAAAAACTGATTCCCAAATAGACCCATATGTTTGTGAAACATCAGTTGTGGTTGCAGTGCTGGCTATCTGATTTCATAAAGCTTACATAAGTACTCTTTCGATTCAACCGTCACGTCGGGTTAACGTCAATTGTAGTTGGGCGCCGTGCGCTGGAGCTGTGTTATGTAGCAATGTCCAAGGCTACCATCATTGCGAGCACCGGCACTTCATATCAGCTTATCGCTTCTGGTGTTGCTGATACTCATGTTCCTGTTGGAATCTTTGCGCAAGTGCAAACAACTGGTTATATAAACATCTGATATTCTTCAACAATGTCTCTCCGTGCAACATTTGTACACATACTTAGCGCATTTCCTGACCTGTCGCGCAATAAAAAAGTTATTACACTGTCACCTTCCCTCTGCATGCTTCGCATAACGTCGATTTCCAAGGTACGTAGGATCTGCCGAATTTTTGTCCCATATGCCATGAAGACAAATGTTGTTTGTTTTACAGGTCTGTCTGTGTCGCCTTGTATTTATGCTAACTACAGTATTATCATCGTCGAACGAAAGCCGAGCAGTGACAACCAGTCGCAATGGTACGGTCCTTGCAGTCGTCAGCACTGACATATGCACACATCCGGTTTGGCTGCCATACTGACGACTGGACGGGCGCGCTATACCATTGCGAATTCTTGCCTCTGTTCATAATTCACTTAGCAGTGATAGCCCGTCTGTCTGCAGCGACACACTAAGACGCTTATTTCTAAACATGTATCCATAGCACTCTTGTCCCTTCGGCAGACGTGTTGCCGTGTATAAGCGAAAAGGCAGAGCTCTTCACGTTTTCGTTTCCTGGGGGGAACCTTTGTCTCGTGCAGTTAGGTTAAGCGTACCTTGCGTACAACATTCAGACTCCGCTGATTGTGGTCTCGCTAGTTCCACGTTGCCTGTGACACGGTGTGCTTGCTTATCTTTTCAATGTGTTGCTCTTCAGGTATTACCTGGACAGATTTCGAAACGGCATGAATGAAGACTTCGATCCTGACTGCCAGGGCCACTTCCGTCGATTTGTGATCCCTGTATCCAAGGTAAGTAGGTGAACTTATACCCACTTCAGGCTTCTTGAGCATAGGCTCCGGCCCTCTGCGGTAGATCGGTGGTGATGGTCCTCGGCCGCTGGCCCGGAAGTCGTGGGTTGGTTAGATCCCGACTTCAGCCGCCGTATTTCGGCGGAGTCGAAATGGTGGAGGTCCGTGCACTCTGCAAGGTCAGTGCACGTTCAAGCACACCAGATGGTCGAAATTTCCAAAGGCCTCCACGTGACGTCGCTCATAAGCATATTGTGATTCTGGGCTGTGAAACCCAACTGTTCCTATTAGGTGTAAATCAAGAATATTAAATATAGACTCAGTGGTTTGTGAATATTAAGGCGCGGCGGCCACTTCGTTTTCAGTGTGCCGTCTCTGATTTACCTCACCATATCACTTGCGACGGTAAGTGGGGAACACATAACCTCTCGCTTCCCCGCCATCTCAGAATCGAGCCTTTGTTCAGGGTTGGGGCGCCACCAAACGCAAGAAGGGCAGCAGCGCTTTACACTTTGCAACAATTGAAGGCTGCTCCACATTTGACAGTGCATTAAGTTATGTAATCAGGCACCAGACTTCACAAAGTGTGATCTCTGACGTGATTATGATGCCACATGGCGTCTCGTTCTGACGTCACAGCAACGGGGTATCATCAGTTGCGTAGGTCACGTGAGGTTGGGTTCTGTGCCACTTTCTTAGCCGGCCTTGTATCGTTCAAGGGCAGATAAACGAGACACGTGCGGTTATCATTGATCGTTTTACGGTGTGTTGCCGCTCAGCGCCTTGCAGGCTGCAGTGCGTGCAGTGGCTGGCTATAGATGACGCGAGGCGACAGCCGACACTGTCCCGAAACTACCTAATCTAGAACCCCGCGATAATCTATGTTCTCCTATGTATTCGAATAACGGTGCTAAAGCAAGTTGCGGTGTAAATTTTCGTAAGTTAACGCACTCACTCGACGGCTTGACTCAGAAGCGTCAATCCGAAATATACTAACACGCGTCAATCCGATATATACAACACCCTACAGTTCGATCAATGAATAGCACGGAAATCACCTTCATCAAGCACTAAAGGCCAGTACTAAAATGAGGTAGCAACCATTACACCAACTTTAAAGCACCAACGTTACGAAATGGCTAGTGAAGCTTTAGTAATTGTCTGCATAACACGTTCCTTTACTATCTTTTTTTTTTTTGCTTGAAAGCACAAACATTTTACTAACTGCGTTTGGAGCGTGTACGTCAAGCACGCTTGAACACGTGCTCACGTCTTTTTTTTTTTTTTTTGTAGACTGAGAATCCATGGTCGTTTTCTATAATAATAGGAGGCTATACACTGGAACGTTTTTTCAAACCGCTTTCAAGAGTCAAAGTAGTCTATGGAAGCCCCCACGTGTTTTCCCGTTTGTGTTGGAGGTGAGATGGTGGCCTTTTATATGAGCCGAATGAATGGTGGGCTTGTTGTGCTTCTTCCCTTTTTCCTATTGCATGCAACACACCTTGATACAGGCCAACAGTGCCGTGGAGGGCGACCTGGTGAGCCTCAGCTACAGCGAGGCTCACGCATACCGAAGGGACAACACCACCATCTGGCTCACCCACGAGGAGATGGGATACAAAGGTGCGCGTATATATATATGAGCTGCACGCCTCGCTTGCCGGGCAGGGTTTCTTTTTATCGAAACAAAAACGTATGAAGGGGTAGTCGTCACTTCTTGGCGACGGCGACTATACCCTTCGCTCGGTTGTTTGAAGTAAAGCAAAGTTCAAGAAGACAATTATGGAGACCCCACGCCTTGTGGGAATCGCTTTCATATGAAGCAATCGGTGAGTAATTCTTCATTCTGAATTTTTAGACTCGGATCCAAGTGCTACGACATGAATAGGTTTGCTTTTATAAGTCAAGCAGTTGTATGCACATCGTGAAATTATCAGGAACGTCGACTACGCCTGCGTTTAAAGGGTAACTTATGGTGTGACGTAACGTCAGCCTCCACGTTGTAGCACATACGTCAGTGTTATCGAAACGAACGCGCTTTACGGTACGATGGTGGGAATATCATACGTATCTTCCATCAGCGTATTTTCCGGGGTCGAGCAACACCGGATGATAGCTCAAAAATACACATCTAATGTTTATGGGAGGGCTAATAAATCGGAGCTAGCACTTGAACCACAAGCGACGTTAGCCCGAGATGACGCCTGTACCATGGTAGGATTACTTATGTAATGTTTATCTATGAGTCATCAAATTAATAACCCACACTACAACCGCAGTTGGCGTTGCGCCGTATTACGCCTCCATGTAAGGCGTTTCTCTAAAGCAGTTTCAAAACTTTGCATGGCTTTGTGGTAGAATTAACGCTTGACTGTCACGCAGAACACTCGGATTTGATTATTGCTAGGATACTGATTTTGTTCTTTGCATTAGTCAAGTCATCGGTGTACATGTCTATTTTGCTTAACGTTCTGGCATTTAAATTTCCCATATCTGTACTTATTATCGTTCCTCGGTTAATATAAATTGTCAATAACCTGTGGTGCATACCACGGCCCCGTGGTACAAGTGTCTGGAGGAAAGGGTTTGACGACGTACGCTATAGGGTTTTCACTTTATTCATGTCATGACCAGACATTCATACTCATCAACACATGTCAAGTAGTTAGGCAAGTCATTATCACAAGCATCAGTTCTCATCATAAACAGCAGTGCCCTTAAAGAAGCGATGAAAGACTTTCAACGCTTTATAGTGGGATTTTGACGGCCATGGGCCTCGTATTTGGCTAGTAAAAAAATTGTTCTGAGCCCTGTAAACAGATCGTTCATTTTTAAAATATATGTGCATTGTGCTAGAAACAGCTGAGTAGCAGGTGATATGCATCCTCGTCTACATGTTCATATAAGTATGCCGTACAAGCGGAAAGCTTATTTATGGATAAAGAAAGTGCTCTGTACAAGCAGTTCCGAGACGATGCATGAGGTAATGATGCAAATGCTGGAGGCCCGTCTACATTTCGACGTAGGTGCACGCTGAAGGACACCGGATGGTCAAAATTACTAGGGTCCACCACTTGGGCGTCTCTCATAATCATATCATGGTTTCGGAACATAAAACCTCAGATATTATTATTGTGTCCAATCATCATGGGAGTGGCTTATCCAGTTAGCACTCAAGATTAGGTTCAACTAATACAGGATTGATTCTCCTGTGCTGTATGTGAATCTTGCAGGTCACTTACACGTTACAAACACTGATGCAATATAGTACTGCTAGCTTATACTTACTTTATCGATACTGCGCGTTCCACTGCACTACGAGATAAGCATCAAGCAACGAAGTACAAGAAGCGACATGGACGAGCGCTAAATTTTGGCTTAACTTTATGGTCAAACGAGACAAGATATAGAAAGGCAGAGGTCACAATGACTAGCAGAAAAGGCAGGCACCAGTATAAACAAGCGAAAACAGAATAAACAAGCTCGTGTTGAAACCTAGCAAGGGCAAAAACAGGAGGGGCCACCACATGTGCGAAACATATCCATTCGAAACCACAAACTTTTTATCACACAGGGAAACGAACGGGCACGCAGGAACCTCTCTTCTGTCTGTCGTGAACTTACTTACAGCGCAACGCCAGAAAAAATACAGGACAGGGAAGGAGCAAAAGAGAAAGAAAAGACGGCGCTGCTTACTTACAGCGCAACACCAAAAAAAAAAAATGGATCCTAACCAACTGGCCCAACTTACCGTCTTACTCTTCTGTCTGAACTGAGGCGCTTCAACAGGTGAGGTAATTTTGGGGGTGGCAGGAGAACTCCGTGTGTATGCATACATTCAGCGGGGAAAACATGCCGACGATGTTAATATTCAGGCATTCAAGGGTTTCTTCCCATGTCTCCGTTAATCTGTCTGTCTGTGAGGTAGTGCGTTGCAATAAACTGGCCACTCTTGAACACAACGCAGAACTTTCAATAGATGGCGGTTGTGCTGACCTACTGCATTGACTCGCATATTACCAGCATCTGACCTACCTGCCGTTTTTTTTTATTACTAAATGGGTGTAAGGATACCCGGTGCCCCAACAGGGCTCTGGCTGCTCCTCACACAAAGATGACTCACTCGCTGGTTTTCGTGCCGACCGGTTGTGCCCCCGCGATCTCCGACGACAGCGCGCTCTGGCCGACTAGCTCGCGCTACGCCATTTCCTGACACCGACAAGAGCTCTCGCTGAGTGGTGCCCCGTCTTCGGACTTCTGCGATCCGCCATATATCTTCTCCTTACTTCCGTATGTGGCTGTCCCTGCGCCTCTCTCTCCTCCGGCTCCTCTCTCTATTTCTATACCTTTGATTCCTATCCTTTTTAATCCCTCCTTACCCCCATTTCTCGTGAGCTACTGTTGAGGTAGTCCTCCTCCTCGAGAGACAGTTAAGGGGCTCACTTTTATCTTAACTTTTCATTTAGGAATCACTCCCCCCCCCACACACAATGACATGTTTCCACATGTAATCCACACTTTTCCTTTCACATTTACTATAATGCACATTGTCCACTGGTTGATGTCGGCTGTTCACTGCATAAATGAAGGCAACGTCTGCTTGTGCTTGCTGCAGTAGATAATGTCGGGCATTCCTGGCTATTGAAGGTTGCACGTTGATTCTAAGGATGGGTAATATCAGATAGTGTTGTCCAAACAATGACGAACACTGCTTAACATTGTCACATGCTGGTTGTATGATGCAGTTACAAATGATGCTTGCGCAATATGCGAAAATTTGTCTGTCATAATGTTTCTGCCGATTTTCGCATCCACTTGCAGGTTACGACCTGCCGACCGTGAACCCGAAATACCAAGGAAAGCCGTACCGGTACACGTACGGCAGCGGAAACTTTGAAAGACTTGGGGAATGCCGAAATGCGGTAACTGCTTACCAATCTTTGTTCTCAGCCCTAAAGTTACCTTTGTTTTTTGTTCTCAGCCTGAAGGTTACCATAAATTCAGTAATTAAAGAACTAGTTATTTAGCTTTCTATTTAATAACTATAGACCAGATGTGTGTATTGAAATGATGTAGAACGAGACAACTTATGGCATTCGCCGGTTTTAAATATCCTATAAAATATACTTAGTTTACCACTCTAATCATCGAAATTCAAGGCCGCGATCCATTAAAAAACTCAAACTGAGCGCGTCGCACGAGAAATGTGGCAGCTGGATCTTACGTTAGACTGGAATCTCGCTTGAAAAAGTGCGAAAAAAAAAGCGCCTCACAGAAAAACTTCGTCAAAAAAGAAAAAAAAAAAGACACCATCTCCCACTAAAGGGAGACATGTGTATTTGCGAAGCAGCGGGCGCCAACGCTTACACTGGCGGTGGCGTTGATGCTGGTGCTCATCGCGGGGTTGCGTAGGAGAGAAACCTCGGGAGGTGCAAAAGCACGCAGTGATGTACCGGTGTTACCTACTGGAACATGCCAATCACTGCTGATGGGCAATGGGAGACAGAGGACTCCGATTTAACACCGAGAACCACGGTCTGCTTTTACTTAACGCACTCTCTGCGAATTTTTATTGTTCAACAGCGAACAGAAAAACTTTCCCACCGGCAATATTTTGGAAATTAAGATCCAGTGCATATATATAAGGAATGGCCAGTGAATGGCTCAACCGTGTGACCAGTAGTTTTTTTTTTTCGATCAAGAAGCTCGCTAGCTTACGCTGCCTGCGTCGGCATTGCGAGGCGAGAAAGGGGATGAGGACGCGCATGCGCAATGGTGATGTAAACGCCGCGGGGAAGGATGCCGAGAGGAGAGAAGAAAGTGGAGCGAGCGAGCGTAGTACACTAGCCTTCGCTGCCTGCGTCAGCGTTGCAAGGTGAGAGGGGGAGTAGCGTAGGAGAGAGGATGGGGAGGAAGCGACGAGCATGCGCACTGGAGCGCGGACGCCACCGAAATAAACTCGCACATAAGGGGCTTCTCATCTGAAACAGCAAGCCCCCAATAATTAATTGTTCCGCTTGTTCCTTGCATTTGATGTGTCGTTCATGTCCGTTTCTTTCGCACTGTACTCAACAAAACCACAACTTCCCCCATTTTTTTTTTTCGCTGTGCAGCTTAAAACTAGGTGGCCACCGCTGCGGCGCTATACTTCTCGCAGACAAGCGAACGAGTTATTCGGACTTCTTCAAGGTTAAAAAAAAGGATAAGAAAACACAAAACGCAAAAAATAAGCAGTCCAATTGGGACCAGACCAGAATATTTTCCTGAGCAGACTATGGTGTGAAGTGCCTTTTTTTTTCAATGTTTGTCACATAAGTTTGGTTTGACGTAACACAGTTGTATTTTCTGCGTGTTCGCCGGCGCACTCAGTTTCGGTTTCTCCTGGTCGCGCGTTGTACTGCAATGATTAATATCTTAAATTACGTGCGTTTTGGTGGACTTGTAAAAGGTAGTTGTGCCAGAGATGGTCACTTCCTGCAGCTTTTCGATACAATAAATGCTGTTAAATAAATAATTTCAAAGGTTGATAAACGAGCTTTTTTTATGTACGTAATCGAATGTCACTTTAGGGCTGTCACATTCATTGTATTTTTATTAAATATCTGTACTACAAAAATACTAGATTCGTGCTCGGCAAAGGGGCGTTTCGTTCTAATAACGAGCATTTTTCATATGTAGGCGTTCTTGCATGTTGCAAATAAGCGTTCTGCAACTTGCCTTTGCAGAGCCCGCTGCTTGATGTTCTTGTCGTTTCCTCGCGCATTGCTATATCGTCCAACACTTGAACGAGAATCGGGCTGTTTTTCATTAAGTCATGCGATGTCCTTCAGTGACTCCTAGCTACATCGCTTTTAAATTCGCGTGCTGGCTTCATATAGTTACAGCTATGAAATATGACATCCATTGAAATTCTTCTTTTATTTTCCTTTTTTTATTTTGTTGGAAAGTGAGAGCTCCAATTACAGAGAAATCGGTACACGCTGCGGCGATATACTAGAAGTTATGCCATGAATAATAATAATAATGGTGTAGAGCTAAACAACACGAAATCGATCAGGCGTCGCAGTTTGCTGCATAATCATGTGGGCGTCGTTGAGATTACAACTACGTCTATACAAGCGTTAAAGCGACGCTCAGCGTTAAAGAGTGTGCCTCGTGATTTTTCAGTCTGCCGAAGAAATGGGCTTTTGTGCCTTGACACAAATTAGAAATCAATTTTGTGGTGCCACCAGGTACTGGACAGTGCTCCTATCGCGCGAAATGCAGATCTGCAAGCTGGACATCCAGAGGCGTGAGATGCATCTCTGGAGGGAATCCGACACGCAGTTCCCCAGCGAAGCTATCTTCATGGCAAACCCTGACGGAATCGATGAAGATGACGGTAGGTGTTACGGCGGCGCACGTACTTCCTCGGCATGCCTCAGCGTTCTTTACTTCAGACGGGCGTGTTGAAAAATGAAACGACACGCAGATGTGGTACGTACAGTCAAATACAAAAGCTTACGGACCACGCGAACACAGGCCAAGTTGCCTGTGCGAGCCAGCCATATATAACAGAGCATCATCTACCGTCCACCGCAGCGCTGGGCCAGAAGCGGGTCTTTCTTGGCACATCCTAAGAATATCAATTTTCTGCTGCCTCGCAGAACGTTGCTAGTTCGTTGTTTTCACGCAACACGCTTATCTGCTGTATGAGCGTGACACCTCTTCTTTGATAGTAAAATCAAACCTAGGGCGGCGTGCTTAAAACGTTGTGCCGATGGGTAGATATCTCTTTGTCAGGATTGTGAGTGATTACTGTTATGCTGATAGACTGCTCTCGAGACCGAAGCATGTAGCCGTGGCTGCTGAAGCGCACACCGCGTTAAAAAGTGAAAGGTGGAAGCCATTCACGGTTACAGGGAAAAACACTAGGGCGTCGATTAAGGGGTGAATGCGTCTTAATCGGGCGTAGCGATGCTGTCGGTCGCTGCTTACGTATAGCGGTAATGTCATGAAGAGGCTCTTGGGCCCACGTTCGCGTGGTTCGTAAACGTTCGTGGTTCACTGTGCATATACGCATGGCCCACCACGACACCAAAGAAAGTGACGTGCCTTAAAGATACCAGTGCCTGCAAGGAAGTTGAAAAGTGCCATCTTTGCTTGAGATGCAAGGGCAGCCTATAGGACGTCTCTAAACTTGGGAGAGGGCTGTCTTTGATTAAGGTTCAGTTCTGAGGCTCTTTTTCTTCGAATTAATAACTGAAATTACTCCAAATGCCTTCGCCAGAACTCAGTTGACTGAGAAATGCCTACTCTCGACGACACAGCTCGTGAAGTGCGATTTACCTGAAAGTATATAAAACAAATCATATTGAGCTAAAAATAAAATTTCCCGTCTTTTATTTGCACTAAAGTCTTAAAAAGGTGCTTTGAACGTTATGCGAAGAAAATAAAGTATTGATAATGAAACGCTTGTCAAGTTCAGCGAAACTTTGGCAAAGAGGCATGCAACACTGGTATTTTCATCGCCATCGCCATCGAGTTCACTTTCTCCATTTTTCCTTCCTCCGTGACTTTCTCCGTGACTCAGGTTGAAATGGTTTGATATAAATTGAAGTTCAATGTCCTGAAGCTGGCGCATAATAACTCGTCTCTGCTCAAAAATTATTCACTCTTGAGCACGATGCTTTGCACGGAAACACACAAGTGTTGCCGTGAAAAAAACGAACTCTGCGAACATCTTCTTCTGAGAGTTGCGACAGGTGCGATGCCCTTCCTCCGTGTGTGCGATGCGACAGGCGCCATTTTCTATTTACGCTGTGGATCTGACTAGTGTTGGCTTAGGTTGCAACGGTCGGCTGCCATGTTGTAAAACAAAGCAAGAAACTAAAACTTAGGACAGCGTAATACGCTTATTTCTACATTTAATGATTATCTGATGTGTATGAAGCTTGTAAATGATTCTTATTTTTTTTTTTTTTTGCTATTCACTCAATGCTCACTTGGAAGGTGCTGTGATCGACATCATCAAGTCAAATGTCATTCGCTTTGGACGTGTAGCAGCGCCGGCGAAATAAATGTCATTCGGGAACTGAAGGCCTTCGCCACCAAATGTCATTTTCTATGCCCGTGTGGCACGGGTATTAATAGACTGGAAGATAAATTGGTGGGCTAGCTGGTAATTTATCATGAAAGGCTACAGCGCACGTAGGCGGGGACGCGAGAAAACACACACACACAAGACATGGCGCTTTCAGAGATATATATACACCTTGTGTTCTATATCTTGTATTCTATATGTCAGCGCTGTCTTGTGGGTTCTTCCTTCGTCCCTGTCGTGTGCACTGAAGCCTCTAATAGACTGCAATCACTATTGGCATACGAGTGAGATGAGTGATCAATGCGCGTAGAGAAATTCTGAACTCAATAATGATGCCTGTCACACCCTTCCTTCAGGTGTCCTATTGTCGGTGATAAATGACGTAGACTACGACAAACCGGACTTCCTCTTGGTGCTGGACGCCAAGACAATGACTGAAATCGCGCGGGCAGAAGTTCCCCATCCGGTGCGGGCCTGCACCTCGATCCACGGCTGCTTCATCAAGAGCTGAGGCAAACGTCTACTCGCTTCCCGCTCCGACTGTCTTCGGTCCGACTCAAATGCATCTACGTCTTTCATAGCAAGGAAGTTATTTTTGTTTGTGTTTTGTATTTTTTTCACGCGAAAATTTTCCCAAACAGCAAGTGCCTTAGGTATTAAGAAGTCTCTGTTTAGAGTCGATGCAATAATTAACTGTCTGGTTGCCGATTGTAACGGAATGACGCACGAGTTCACGCTATTGTGACCCTTCGAAAATGACCATGTGTGGGCTCGTTGAAAAACGTACACAGCACGTTTTAGATTGTGTTGCCGTACACGAAGACAGACTTCCCGTTCCCAGAACTTGCTTTTGCACTTGCAGAATTTGTGTTTTGTTGGGTGCGACTGTGTATTGGCGCACTTGGTGTGCACTGTTACTTGATAACAGAATGGTCAGCCATAAAAGCAAAAAGTACTCTCCGGACTAGCAGTTTTTACGAGCGAAAAGTTAAGAACTTGTGCTGCACCATGGCACATAAGCAATCGAAAACCTCACACAAACATTACTTTGAAACAAATCACTCCCAAGTGATAATCTTGTCATGTCGGTATAGTGACCGCACTCGATTTTATGTAAATATTTCTAACTTATTATGTATCTGTACCAGTTATACTACCTCTTGTTTGAAGTGTGACAAGTTGAGGTGCTTCATTTTTCCAACAGTTATTGCTGATACCAGATTGTTTCTGAGCTTTCGTGGCTGCGTAGAAGTGCGAATGTAACTGTCAGTGTTTACTAGCGGTAACCCTATGCACAGAGGTAGCTCGTAACTTCAGTAATGCGCCATGATGTCTCAACGATAGTCTTACTTGGGGCAAATTTTGGAGAGTTTGATTTCTCCGATCGGTAAGCCAGTAGCGGAAAGGTAGCGAAAGTAGTCTCAACTGTTGAGTGATGGAGGCGCAGAGAGCTTGTTTTTGATAATCCCAGTAGTGGCCACCAACGGTCTTTCTTTGCTATAAATGTTAATACGACGGGGCCAATGTGGGCGTGCCTCGTACGCAGCTTTGTTTATCCCTTCAACTAACATCCTTAAATTTTACTCGTCGCTGCGAGCCTCCACATCAATATATTAGGCATCCGCGTGAAGACCACGATATGCCGTACCTTCACGAGTAGTGCACTGCACGCAAAACTTCTAACGGGACAAGTCAGACTTTGCTAACGTAAATGGCGTAAGAAGCTTTCTCAGACAGGTGATGGTCGACACAGAATTCTACTGTGCCTACCTAATTAGGAAGCTGTGGCTAACTTCACTTCCAAGCTACCGGAAAGTGAATTCAATACATAAAAATAATGTTGTTTGAAGAGCAAATGCGTACGTACATAGCAGCGTTTTCAGAAGTGTCATAGATTGACCTGAACGAATATTGCGTGTGTCTTTTTTTCGTGGACATTATAAGTAAGTTAACCATGAAAACGCTCTACCTATTGATATGTTAATAGTTAATAAATCGCGAATAAAAGGCAAACAGAGACTTTTAGATAAGGCGTGCATATATTGTTCTTTGTCGTGACGCATGATTACATATGTACTCTCTGCGTGAACCCGAGGGCATCTTTGCCAACACGTGCAGTGGCATTCAAGTTTTTGTGCTGAAATGTGATAACCTATCTTCGTGGTGACGTTTACTTGGCTGCGGATACTACAGGGAAGCCACGTACACATTCACATTTTTTGTCATTGTTAATAAAGACGCCAATTTTTTTTTTCTTCCACTCGCGCTATCACATTACTCGGCGGCATTGGCTTGGCGCCTACGCGAGAAGTGGTTGACCCGAACAATGAAAGCTTTCTCCAGTTGCGGTTAGATGAAAGGCCACCTGCTGCAATGTCTGGTAAACAACGCCGTGAGAAGATCATGATGTGGATAAGAAAGGCCGACGTGCACGCTATATAGTTTCACGCTTCGAGTGCGGCGTGAGCAGGTAAGAGTGAAGCCGTCTCTTGCAACGAGGAAAACAACGTCGTCTGTACTTCAGCTCCAGAACTGCTGGCTAGAAACGAAGCTGCCTGAGAATAGACCAACTGTGTTTGCTTACCTAAATAGTTTACAAATGCCACAGTGCTGGAGAATATCAAGAGATACGCGGAAATATTGCAGCATAGCCGATTGGGAAGAAGATACCCTCTAGCGCAAACACTAACGAGAGTAGACAGGAAAATTCAGATTTCTGCGAACAAATTCGGTATCGTTACTTATGTATTAATAATAATAATAATAATAATAATAATAATAATAATAATAATAATAATAATAATAATAATAAATGAGGTGTCACATCTCTTAACCACAATACGATTATGAGTGAGAGACGCCTTAGCAGATACCTTGGGAAATTTCGACCGTCTGGTATTCTTTAAAGGCCAACTCCGGCAAGGTGAGGTAATACCAAGGTAATTGTGCTTCCGTGTTCCCGAAACATTTTTCACGTGCCCGATAGCTGAACTGCTCAACAAATTGAAAAAATAATTGTTATTAAGCAAAAAGGCGCAATACCGAAACCCAACCAAGCGCACAGTTTACGCCTGAGGTGAAATTTGGTACGAACCGGAAGTCCTATACAAGGCATCGCACGCCAAACCGGCCAAGCGCCGACCAAACACGACAGAGGAAAAAAGGGAGCTTTTCCGTGCCAGACAGCACCACCGTCGCCTGGTGGGCAGCACAGAAAACGCTGCAGCGGCTTAAGTTAGCGACGCTATCACTGCGTCACTTCCGTTGACTTACCAAAGCTGACGTCACGAAGAGATTGCTACCAATAAAAACGAGCAAGGTGAGCGTTTCGAGGCGATATTTATAACGCATTTGCATATATATTAGCGCATCTCTCGAGCCTTCAATTAGACATAAATGACGAAAACGTGCAAATGAATGTATACCCAGCGAATTACATTGAGATTCGTTGACCTTTAAAAGTCGCCGGAATCGGCCTTTAACGTCCACTGACTTCCCGCAATACACTGGCCTCTATCAGTTCGCTTCGGTCGAAACGCGACCGGGATCAAATCTGCAACCTTCAATTCCGAGCATCCGAGTGCCTTAACCATTGCTCCACCGCTACAAACTGCAATATTATCATTTAAGATTATTATTATTATTATTACAATCATTGTTACATGAAATGAAAACAAGAAAATCGGTTCGGTTGGACGACAGGAGTGGTTATTTTGATTTCAGACATAGCCCTTAAGAAAAGCGAAGATTCAGTCGTACTCTTCTTGCGGCGTTTTTTGTTACTTGGGACCTGCCCAAAGCCCGGTTGCGCTGGCTGAGAGGAGGTCGGTGGGGATCCCTTGAGACTCCGCAGCCTCCATTGCGAGCTGCGTTCTTCCTTTTAATGGCATCAACTGAGCTGCATGTTTCCCTTTCGCATGTGGATGATTAGCACAGACGCCGACGTGGACCTTGTCGTTTTGGTATCAGCAGTCTCCGACAAAAGCTTGGCTCACGCCGACGTCGAGAAGAAGTCCGTTCAAAAGTGGTAACCACCGGAATCGGAAACCACGAGTGCGTGTTTATACTGTGCGCTGCTGACATTGCAAAGTGACAGACTGCGCATGACGTCATGAAAACAGCACCGCTCTTCTCAACACGATAATGCCCAAACGTGGCGGACCTGGTGACGTCAGTATACGACACATTGACACGTGGTCATCGCTTGAAGTATTGGTATTAGTTTTGCAGCGGGTTATCTTTGTCACTAATATTTATCTCGGTGGAAGACGCGCCTGTTGTGCTGCAATGTTTCTTGCCTATGAGTCTTCTCGACGTATCATATCACAAAGTGGCCTCCACAATGATGGCAACGTTAGCTATCTATAACAGTACGGTAGTGGGGTTCCAGATCTCGAATCACAAGTATGGCAAAAGGCGACGAGGGCAACAGCGTCCTGTTTATTGTGTCCGCGTCATTTTGAACCAGTTCTTGTAAGCCAAAAAAAAGAAACTGCTTTATTCTGAACAAGCGTGAAGTGCTAAAGTGTTTCGGCATCGGCAGCATGTGCACGCCCTGTTTGTGAATTTTCCAGTGTTTTTTACCCCATCTGGGCCATTCAATTCGCAAAGTACAACTATCCGAATGTAAGTGAAATCAACCTACTTTTTAAGCGTTTGAGACAAGAAAACCGTAAAGGCACGACCCCTTTTATGCTCGAACGCGACTTCATGGGAGCAGTGATATTACGTAGTTTTTCGCAGGGAAGCCGTTCTTGGTCGACACTTCCATGCCTATGGGAACTATCTTAGATTGCAAAGTGATCTCCCCACAGAATGTGGGTCAATATCGCTGCAGACATTTACCTTGTGCTACGCAGTACTCTAGCAACTCACCACCATGTCCATTACTGCTCCCGCCACTCCTCCCTCTCCACTTGCCCGCTTCGTGCACGTCATTTCCACTTCATCCCCCTTCTTCCAGACCACCTCATTCAACCTCACTGCACGCCATCATGCAGCTTTGCTGTTTCGTCAGTGTCCGCCAAGCGGAACTGGCTTATCTTTCGTGGAGCTGTTTGGCCAGTGTAAAAACTTCGGTGTGCGTGGAAATCAATCCCGAAACGCCTCACGGCACGCACTCTCATCGTCCTTTGCTTCATCCGCTGATTTGCTCCCACAACACGTGTACCGAACACAGCTTCTCGAAACCCGCAGCGTGCTACGCAAGAATAAAAGACGCACAAAGACGAGCACGAACCAACAACTGTCCCAGTTCGGCACTTTAAGCGCGCTGCTCAAGCACAAACAAGGACGCACGAAACGAACGCACAGGTACGCGCACGACGGGCGCGAACTAGCAACTGCCACAGTTGTAACTTCTTTGAGTGTGAGCAGCGTGCCTCTTTCGCAAACGTGGCCGCTGCAGCGAGCGATGTGATCTTCGTGTTTTCTCGAAGTTCTCAAAGTTGCGCGTAAAGCGCAACACGTACCAACCACCCCAATCCAAATATAAGCGCGCGCGTACGAGTGACGTCGTCCTGTGGAGGTACTCGCGCATCGCAGCACGTGGGGATTCACTGTCTTCGCCAATTCTTGCTAGTGATAATGAGGGACGCCGAGCTCAGAGTACCACCAATGGCGTAGATAAATAGCTCACGGTTAGTACGCTCTGTGGATGTAGTACGCTCTGTGGAGTCCAGAGGATGGCACTTTATCTTTGCCATAGCGAGCTCAGAGTGCCACCAATGGCGTATATAAATAGCTCACGGTTAGTACGCTCTGTGGAGTCCAGCGGATGGTACTTTAGCTTTGCCATAGCATATACTTCACAACGTCATATCTGTGCCGGAAATACGTCAGTGGAGCCATGGTGAACCCCGGCAAAAAAATTTTGTATTGAAAACGTTTCTTCACGAGGTTAGTTTCAAACCTGCGACCCCACTATCCAATGGTGAGCGTCCTATATCCATTCGGCTCTCCAGGCACGCTAGCAAATTGTAGCACCGCCTTGTATCGTATGGTATAGCAGTGTGTTGGAAAGCGGAACTAAACGTGAGGAAGGATGAGGAAGGAGAGAGGAAAGCATTGCATAGAAAAAGAGATGGAAAAATAAAGAAAATGAATGACAAAAATATAAAAGAGAGAGAATAAAGAAAAGAGAAATAAACTGATACAAGGAACACATGCGCAAGAGACAGCGAGAATATTTGGGGAAATGAAAAAAATGCAAAGCTTAACGAAACAGCAAGAACCAGGACTACCTAGGTATCCACCAGCTCCTGTGTGTTTTAGCATTGGCATCGCGCCTCCAATAGAAGCTACGCTCAGATTTTTGTTGTTTTTTAGGAGATGCAACAGCTTAGATTTGCAATTTCCATTGATATTAGGCCAGCATAGAAGTCTGACATGAACGCACTGCAATAATGTTGTCGCATAATGTCGACGACTGACATTGACGACTGAGGTGTGATCATTTCGGTCTCCCCCGGAAGTGTCTACGAGAGCCCGGTGAATCCGCCTTTTTCAACTTCCTGTTCTGCCCTCTGCCGTTTTGGTAGGGGTCAGGCCGAGCTGTATTTCCAGAAGAAAGCCTCCGAGACGAAGATTTGTTTCGCGACTTTTCCGCCAGGGGAAAAGCGCATGCGCCGGAGCATTGTGAAACAAGGCGGATTGAATGCGACGGCTCAGCTGCAGAGATTCACAAGGCATGGTTCATCCGCATGCGGTACACACAAAAATGCGCTTTCCGCCTACATGTCTCTTGCTGGTCCGACGCGGTCGCTTTCGTGGCTTGCTGGCATTGATGGCTGCCTGAAGAGCTTAACGCAACAGCATCGATATTCAGCACCATTGCAAGCCAAGCAGTATGAACACTATTTCTGCGTGTTTGAACTGTACTTCAGAGGCGGCCGGGTGTCATGGACGCGCAAATAGATTCACGTATCGAAACTGCGTCGTTACCGTAGAACTTCAGAATACAACCTTAGAGAATGGCATCAAACACGAGGACGCCAGAAAGCAACGCCGACTAAATTTCAAGGCCGAAAGGCTGCCGCAGTGACGTCAGAGTTTGGGAGCCCAGCTGCCCAACTGAGCATGCTCAGTAAGACTTTTTTTTTCACATCTTTTATTCGGCCCAATCAAGCCGCAGCAGCTGCGAGAGTGGGAGCGTTGGTTCTCCTAAAACGTGAACGAAACACAGGCTTTCCGCCGCGTTCGTGGCGTAACTGGGCCCCCACCCTCTGACGTCACTGCGGCAGCCTTTCGGCCTTGAAATTTAGTCGGCGTTGCAGAAAGCCAGAGTGCTTCTTTCGTGGCGTTATCTATGACATACGTACACGTGATTATTCTTGGTGGAGCGTGGAATAAAACACTATCCTGTTAAAGTACGAGTTGGTGGTGTATCATCAGTACATTTTTAGGCAGACGTGTTCTTGCAAATACGGCCTCCTTATTTAGTGAGCTCGTAAAAGTAACACGAAATGAGGTGTAATGAAGTCACCCAAGCAATGAAAACCTTTTGAGCACATGCAGCTGGCCATTAGGGCAGCTACACGCGCGTATCTATATTCCAACGTCTCGCACATCTTTGAAAGCGGTCTCTCGTGCATGCTGAAAAGTATCATCGCTAGTGAGAAATATTGTTGCCTTTTTAACCTCTGAAGCGTTTGTGTGTGTGTAGATTTTGCGCGTACTCTTAGATTCAGAATAGCTTGATGCTATGTCGTACTTGAAGTGGTAGCATTCGGGCCCTTTTATAAAGCCCGGCAGCCGTTCTAGCGCGACTAACGTAGTTCAAAAAACCACCTCCCCGAAGAGAACTGTGAGGAAATGCGAGCGCATTGCGTAGCGCCCATAACGACACGTGAGAACACAGTGTTGGAAGAATACTGTTTCTTTTTTTTTTCTTACACCATGCAGCCAATAGCACCGTCTGCCACACGTGGCATTTGCTGTAGCCAGAGCGTGGTATGCGTTTCCAGCTTTAGTAGCTAGTGTGCACGGTTAAAATAAGCGCGCGCATCTGCAGCTGTTTTTGATAGCTGCCGACGCCAAAGCATGGCATGGCGGAGGCTCTGGTTGCTAGGGACGCGCCCACCCGCAGCTGTTGCTATGGGAGAGGGCGGTGGACGGATCCCGATGGACGCCTGACATAGCCCATAAACTAAGAAATGCATTCGCACTTCAAAATTTATCCAGTTCGGAATATGTTCGTCTCATTGTAGGCATCTAACTTCTCTTGGGTTTGTTGAACGTGGAATCAGATTTCCTTGGTCGGAGTACTGGGTTCGAAACCAACTTCGTTCACTGAATGTGTGGAATTTGGTATGGGCCAATCTCCGATTAAATAAAACCCTTTAAAATCAGTCATGTGCTTATTCTAATAAAACCTGAGCGACTTGCTTAGTTAGTTAGTTAGTTAGTTAGTTAGTTAGTTAGTTAGTTAGTTAGTTAGTTAGTTAGTTAGTTAGTTAGTTAGTTAGTTCTCCTAACGGGGTCATTCTCCCAGATTTCACATTCTATCGAGTAGAACTTTCCCAACTGCTTCTCCGTGTTTCATAGTCTTTCGTATTTGCCTGATGTTCAGAGAAATGCATCACGCCACAAACAAGGATGCCGTTTTCACTTTATTTGCACCCGCTCTGTTGTTGCACATTTGACAGGGCAGAGCAGCGACAAGATAATCGCAATGGGTAAAATAATGAGGACAAGTTGAACAAAAGAATTGTGCGAAATATAGTGTAGCACTACAAAAGTGGATCTCGCGAAAATAAGTACACTTTCGCATTCTATAAAACACATGTGAACGTACTATACACAACAATTCTACTGAGCTAAAAAAAAATCACTAAAAAGAACCTGATTATGCACTTTAGACCGTTTAAGGCTTACGCGTATCGATTTTTAGGTTGCAGATAGGTGACTTAATTATGTGTCCCTGCAAAGATGCTCTTTCTACAAATTTCCTATAAGCATTGGTGTGATCCGGTTGATCTGTCGTACTCCTACTGTTATTGATAGAACATCACATTGATAGATTAGTAGTCCCATCAACAAGGGGGAAAAGAAGAGGAAAACAAAACAAAATACATTTGTACATTCGATGACAGCTTGTTGTATATCGGCTTGTTGACAACGTGAAGATACAATGAGATGTGTTTACACTGACAGCCACATGCCTCACAGCGGAGGATCTCTGGTACGAAAAGTGGTGAACGAATAAATAAAGCTACACAGGCGAGCATTTTCGTGCACGACGAAAAGCTCTTTGGCCACTCACAAGATGCCTATGGGTGGCTTAAGCGCTGGGATAATAAGTGTGCTCAATGTCTATCCCGAATACCGCTTCGGCATAAAACAAGTGGTGAGTCTCGGTATGGTCTGAGAAGTGCACTCCCGACTGCGCTGGACGGCTTAGCTTCTCTGTAGGCCGTGATCATGGGAATAAACACTTCTGTTAAAGGGACACTAAAGTCAAATAACAATTTATGTCATAGTGAAAGCTCAATGTATGACAACATATAAAACCACAGTATTATCAACAACAGTGCCCTACTTACCGAGAAATTAGGGTAAATGCACAAGAACACAAGCACCGCAGCAGGACATTTTCAAAATGATCCCGATGACATCAGACGGACCGCCTACATATAATCACTAGTAATCGATCTTACTGTACTAAAGAACCCTCCGCGCATCAAGAGACGCGATAAAATGCGACTTGTTCGTTTCTGCTTGATTCTAGTAAAAAAGAACCGCCGGACGTTACTATTGGGAATGGCACGAGTGGTTAAAAAATTATATTTTTGTGTGATTACACAGAATAGGTGGTGCCATCAAGCGGGGCGCAGTTGAAACAACAGCGTCTGCAATCTTGAATGCAAAGGCGGGAAATTGATCAATGGCCGTTGTTGCTGCTGTGGCTCCCGCTGCTTTCGGCCTGCTGCTATTAGCGCAGTAAAGCCGGGACAGGTTGTGCATGGCAACAGTGACGTGAGACGGTCCGGTCCGTCCGCTTCTTGAGGCGGATAATCTGAATTGCGCTAACCCAATTCGGAGCACTGAAGCGGGATTTCATTTCAAAATAGGCCTTTCCTTGGCACAAAAGTAGCACTGCGAAATTTCTGGACTACCATTTCAACAATGAACGTTCATTCGACTTTAGTCGACTTTAGTGTCCCTTTAACATTTGTTCAACGCGCAAGTACCCTTCCGTCATTTTTCGGCGCATCTGAGTGTGCGTCAAAATAAATAAGCTAATGTTTCTAATGTATGAGATAGTGCGAGTATCGCCTCCGCGTAGCCCTATACACGAAATGGTGGTAATGTGAACGAATTTACCGACGCAACGGCGAACGCAGCTGCAGGATAAAATTGATCAATAGTAAAATCAGTCCATTTGTTCGTTGGCTTTCCCTCTTCGAATATTTGGCGGTCAGCCAATGGGAAGAATCGACGAGGAACAAAAAGGAAGCCGACGTAACGGTCCGTCACTCGGAGTTACTTCTCGGCACGACCAGAAAATAAGTGGCAAACGAAAGCTTTAAACCAAAGCTAAGGAGGGTCACATAGTCGCCACTCTGTCTTCCACTTCCTTTGCTCGTGTGCATCACAGCTGACCGATGCACGGGAACCCGTTGTGTTTTGTCCTTGTTCTCCCGGAAGCTGCCTTGTTCAGATGACAACGCCAAAATGGGCTCCTATACTTATGTATCAACGCACTTTTTTTTTTCCTCTTTCACTCGCGACGCCAAAGTCCGATAGCTGCGCCGCCAGCACCGAGTCGGGGAGGGGGTCACATCGGGGGGTTCAGCGGAGGGTTAGCTGGCGTCTCGGGGGAGGCCACCTTGCACGTGTAGACCCAGCAGGAGATGGATACGTCGTCGCGGTCCGCCAAGCAACGCATTCCGGCTGGACACGAACATCTGCGTGCATGCGGGACAGGAAACGAGCGATAAGGCAGCAGAAGACTCGGCGCTGCTGCATATACGATGTCGAAGTTGTCACAAGATAATGGAAGGCAAAGACACAGACAGGAATACGTTTCTCGTACACTTGCGTCGAATTAACGCAGGTCGCAAACTTACTCTGTCGGTTTATTCCCATCCGAGAGCAGAAAAGAGTTCGAGGAACGGCTTGTGACTATATGTGAGTCATAGCATAGTTACAATAACTGACTTATTTTACCTACAACACCATTTCAAGTATATTGAGCCCAATCACCGATCCTAAATACTATACATATCTCCATTTAAAAGTCACTATAGGCATTATTTGAACGAGTATAGGCTAAGGAATCCGTTTCTGGAACGTTTGCGAAGCTATTCATAAGCTGTAATGCGAATTTCAACGTCTACAGTGATGTTACTGATGTTAACTTCAACACTGGTGATGTTACTGCGACACCATATGACGTTTGCGACATGCCATTTTGACTCAGTCTGAGTACGATTCGCACAAAATGCATTATTTGTTTCCCTATATCTACTCGCGCCTGTGAATGAATGAATAAATAAATTAATTAATTAATGTGAACATGCGCCATTCGCAAGCATTTATGCATTAAAGAAAGCAAAACGAAGCATTTGCACTCACACTTGTAAGTAGTGAAGGAAGTTCCTCTCAATGGGTTGGTACATAAACCAGCCGCACGGGGAAGGTGGCCTGCACTCCGTCATGTTGCCGTTGTTGTTGTAATAGTTGTAGTTCAGCAAGTTCGTCTGCACACAGGCAAACACACACGCGTTTAAATCTGAGCCGAAGAAACGTACGCGCGCGACGCATCGTCGCAATTCATGCTTCGCACTTTTCAACGAGAGAGGAGACGAAATAAGTAGGTCAAGGGCGAGAAATATCGCGTGAGTGAAGAGAAAATGTTGATTGAAGAAATCGTGCAAACAGCGAACACAAAATGCACCGAAAGAAGAAATCAGTTCACAGCGAACTTGTGAGAGACGAGATGAGAAGTTTTAAAGGAGGACCGTTATGATCGAGGTCTGTTGTAGATGGAAAATTATGGTCATCGTGACCTGGCGTGTACTTAATCATTGCCCAAGCAGTATACAAGTACAGATGGCTGGCGTGCGGCTCCTAATCGCTGTTCTCCGCCCATCCACTCTCTTGCTAATATTTAGTGGACCAGTATTGACACCTAGCCCTTACAGATATATGGGTGCACACAGACGTCGGTATTCGGAAATCTAATCTATGCTTCAAACCATATACCCATGCATGTGCGACTACCATTGCACTATACGTTTTTTGTTGTGTATCTAGAGAGACTATGGGAAGGAAGGAAGAACAGCGAGAGAGAATGCAGGGAGGCCGACCAGGCACATGCCCAATTTGCAGCCCTACGCTGGCGGAATGGCAAATGTGGGGACTATAGCTCCTTTATATATAAAGCGTCAACATTAACATTCTAATATAGTGGTTCCGTAACTCGTTCGTGAAATAGTTCATAATACTTAGAGCACGTAGTAGGCAATATAGCGTAAGCTTCCACCTACAAGCTCCGCCGACCTGTCGACACTCTTGTCGATAGCGCGCTGGGTTCCAAGCCACGTTTTTGTTGTGCCCCCTTTTTTTTTAATGATAGATTCTCTGGTAATACACCATTGCGAAACAAGTAAGGAGGATCCCACCTTGTGTGCGCATGTCCTGCTCGCTATTTGGCGAGTTTGCGCCAAGTAAAGCTCTTGTAGTTCGTACACATAAAAAAACCGTATGAAGTATGGACAATGTATGACGTATGTATGAGAAACACCACCGGAGAGTTTGTAACCACTGGCCCTGACTATCAAATCAAGAAGGAAACAAAGAAGCTTCAGTCCCAGAGAAAAGACTACGTTCAGAAGAACATCCACTTATCGCCCATATCACGGCGTCTCGCACCGCCCATCGCGACGCCGGCGACGTGCTTCTGCGTGCGTGAGCACGTGAACGCCGGTGCCTTTACCGCGGCGGCCACGTTGGGGTGACGAGGTCAGTGATCGCACAAACGCTTGCGAAGCGCAGCTAGTTATCGAAAGCCGTTGCCCTCGTTCCCCGCGCGGATAAAAGCGACGCAGTGATAAGACAGTCCGCGAACTGGGGGCCATGATAGGGCAGAAAAAAAGAGGAAGGGCGACACCAAGTGCGATCACGTAGGCTCTAGCCAATAGGCAGCGTTAGTCCTTGATATACAACTCTACCTTGGCATGCTTGCCGGACTAGTCTTGGACTGCGTGGTCTGGGACTGCGCACGCTCGCCTTAACAGCAGGGAACATTGACAAAACTTATACTCCGTTTCATACATCATGTGCAACGCTGTCAAAGCTAGCGCTCTTGTTTGCGCTGTGCACTGCCGCGACCAGAAAGTGGTGCGTCGCTTGGGGCGCACGAGAATCAATAAATGCTTCTCGGGAAACTTCTAAGCATACATATTTGTCATCAGATTAAAAAACAAACGCCTGTGTTGTCGGATAAACAATCCAAATATGCGAGTTGGTAATTTATGTTTGTCGCTTTCGTATCAGGTTTTCGCTCTCCGCGCGACCCGCGCCGCCGTTTTTTTTTTTTACTTGTTGTGGCAGCTTCGAAAAAATGCACCTGTCGTTAACCCAGCCTCATTGGAGCTGCTGTGCTACCTAATCAATGAATTAACGTCATCATACACGCAGTACTCGCTCACATCAACGAGGTAAACCGACAATGCGGTATAATCGCGACAAAACCGCCATGCTGGTCAAACCTCAGTGCCAGCTCAGCAGGTTCCGGCCCTGACAAGGGAACACAGTATGCTACAAATGAATAGATACGTGCAGTTCACTTCCGCGTGCAAGTAAGTTGAAGTTACTGAAAAAAAAAAACAAGATTTCGAATTGGCACCACGTAGATTCGAACCCATGCACTTCAAAACTACGGTGAACTCTTCGGAGCGACGCGTCAGACCACTCGGCTACGAAACCGCGCGGAGCAACACCTCGTGTTTTCTTTACAGACTACTTGCCTAGCCTTCACAGCGTTGCACCTGATGTATAAAACGGAGTATAAGCATCAAGCTTGTTGATTGAGTGATATGTGGGGTTTAACGTCCGAAAACCACGATATTATTATGAGAGTCGCCATAATGGAGAGCTCCGGAAATTCCGACCACGCGGGGTTCTTTAACATGCACCCAAATATGAGCACACGGGCCTACAGCATTTACACCTCCATCAGAAATGCAGCCGCCACAGTCAGGATTTGAATCCGCAACCTGCGGGTCAGCAGCCGAGTACTTTAGCCACTAGACCACCGCGGCGGGGCAGCATGAAGGTTGTGTTTATAATATACGTAGCCACGTGCTGCTAGAAAAATGCGAGAGCTGCCTGACAATTAAGACGGTGGCGTAATGTGCGCATGGTAACAAACGTGAAAACATTTGCGTTTTACAGCGGCTTCACTGTTTTACATTATAGTATTGTCCTGAAGCCGACACAATGTATTGTGGTGAAGAGATGTGAAGATTCGTGAAAGTGCATATCGGAAGTAATGCACTATTGTTTATTATTCTTTATTGACACCTCCAATGTACCAGGTCATAAATATGGACATGAAATCTGTAATCCGGACTTGTTCTGCGTTTGATCTCCCCTGCTCGTGCGGCCACTGCAAGCCACCCGGTTAGTGCCACGCCCAGCTTCACGGCCCGATCACGGGCTCTCTGCAAGGCCAGGATTTATCGCGGAGTTTGGGCTGCTCACTGCGCTATTGAAATCGTGTGCACGAGAAATTGCAACAGATGCAGCTTCATGTAAACGATTGAAAACCTCTTGTGTGACTTTCGAACAGGTGAACACGTGCACGTTTATTAGCCCCTTTTACAACACCGCGATCTGACCAGCTGAAACTAACAAATACCTGGTAACATGACAAATGATATAACAAACACAAAACATAGCACACACATTAAACATAAGAAGTCATAGCTTTATCGCAAAGGCGAAGCGATGAATGCGAAAGCACCAACTTGGAACGTCGCAAGTAGAATCACAAGCACATCGAAACGCGCTCCACGTTGCTCACGCACGAATGGCACACGAAACGTACTTACAAGTACAGACGAACGCGAATGAGCGTCTCAGTTGTTATTTGACTGCGTCTGAAAAGCGTGCTCTTTTCGCAAATGGAGACTGTGCAGCGAGTGCAGTAACCTTTGTGCGCCCGATAACTACAACAGAATCATTCCGGAGAAATCCCAAGGCCTACGATTGTCCCCACTGTGAGCTAAGCTCGCGCACGCATAAGCATCCCCCCTCCCCTCTCCCCTGCGTGCTATCCTCTAGGAGAGGAGAGTGCGCACCAGCGCGTTGTGGCGATCTGGCGACGCGCTCATTGAGCCATCTCGCTGGTAATGCTGAAAACACGATAGTTCCCCCGAGATGGGCATCGGCAGAGGTAAGTCGTAGATATAAATAGCTTGCCGTTTCAACGTTGATGGAGGTGCTCTTTCGTGGCTCGGAGGCTAACGCCACGCACTCACAAACTAGAGGTCGGATGTTCGATTCATAGCGCCGGAGTCTTTTTCTGGATTATTTTTTTTTCTTTCTTGTGTTTTCATATATATAGATACGTATACATATACGCTGAATGACGGCAGTGATCGACGCCGATGGTGGCGGCAAAATCTAGCCGAGAGTGTACATATAGTTGCTGTCACAATAATACACGCAATGTACCACGAAGGCGGTGTCACTGACGTTCGACTCGCCGTACGAGGCCACGCGATTGATCCCGGAATATCGCCCCTCATTACCCTCTCGCAAGAGACGTATTCCTCAAGCACCCGGATAACCTCTCTCAGCCTAGCTCCCATATAGGGCTGCAGAAGTTCTTTTCCTCCCTCATCTCCTGCTACTTTCGCCAGGCGACGTGACTGGCACCTCCGCGCGACCGCTGCGCCATCTTTCATGGTGGCAAATAACGACTCTAACTATACGACGAGCAGGAGTAATGAGGTGAAAAATACATTACTTGAAAGGATCGCACGCTTACATGCCCGACGGATATTTTTATGGCAGTTGTGAATTCGACGTGAAACAATACCTCGGTATTGCAACATCATTTATCCGAGATGCTGCAAACTTACTGATGCGCTGCTTTTGATGCGCCTAGATTGGCGATCAGCGCTTCACTCGACAAGTGTGTACTTCTCATATTTCACTCTCCTTTTTTTCCTACTTCAGCGCAGTGCAGCCTACGGGTCTCACCTTGCGTTGTTAATTTCCCAGCTTTTGTCATACGACGCTCAACAGTGAAGCTGTTCAACGCGAGAGTCAGTCAGTAATCTGTGAACAAACATCATCGCGATATGGTACACGCTCTCTTCGTGCTCTTCGCTCACAAAACGCGTGCACCGATTAGTCACGCGCACGATTCTGATAACTCTTATGAGTCAGAGAACGAGTACAGATAGATAGAGAGAGAAATGAAGAAAACAAAAGAAAGACAATTTCTTGGGCGAAGAATTCTTTGACGAAGCGGGATTCAAACTCTCGAAACCGCAATTCCATGATACGAAAGCGGGCATCGTAACTAGTTGGCTATACCCATGCACGCTATCAGAGCATGTCTTAGCCTTGTGTAGAATAGTTCAGTTAGGCTGTTGGGAACTGAAGTGAGCTTAAGCAGAGATGTGAAGGTGGAGAGGATAGAAAAAAAAGGTGAGATAGTAGAACACATCATAGAACAAAAGGA